AGTGATAAAGCACGAAGGGTGATGTCGTGCATTGTTTGATATTGTGAGGAAAGAGTGTAAAGCTCGAAGGGTGATGTCGTGCACTGCTTGATATTGTGAGGAAAGAGTGTAAAGCACAAAGGGTGATGCCGTGCCGTACGATGTACCATTCCGTACTGATNTGGCTCGAGTTGAAATACAAATTGTGAAGGTATATGAGATAATTAAATCTTTGGAGCATTGGCTTAAGTGATAATGTGAACTATGAGATGAAAGTGAAAGAAAGAGAAAGAGTTATTGGTTTATTCCCTTGCCGGAACGTTTCGTTGTTTTGTTGATTTTCTTCCTTGGCGGGATATGGAAACTCATTGATATTGTTCCCTTGCTGGGATTTAACTGTTTAATTGCATTCCCTTGCCGGGATTTCTATCATTATTTATTTACTTCCTTGCCCCTTATTTGTGATTGTTGTTTGGGTAAGGAAGAGTGATAAAGCACGAAGGGTGATGTCGTGCATTGTTTGATATTGTGAGGAAAGAGTGTAAAGCTCGAAGGGTGATGTCGTGCACTGCTTGATATTGTGAGGAAAGAGTGTAAAGCACAAAGGGTGATGCCGTGCCGTACGATGTACCATTCCGTACTGATTTTCATTGATTATACTGTAAGGAAAAAGAGTAAAAGCACGAAGGGTGATGTCGTGTACATGATTATTGATACGATTGATTTGGTGAGGACGAGAGTAAAGCACGAAGGGTGATGCCGTGCAAGTTTGTGATTTCTGATTCTTATTGATATTCTGGCCTTGTTGCTTCTTTCTTTATCTGAGATTACTCATTTGAAACTGTTATCCCCCCACAGCATGTTCCCCTTCCTTTATTAATTGGTTACTTCCTGTATTTCTTTTCCGTTGTATATATATATATATATATATTCGAACTGCACAGGTTTACTTGGTTGTCTGGTTCTAGCCTTATCACTACTTCGCCGAGGTTAGGCTGGACACTTACCAGCATATGGGGTCGATTGTGTTGATACTATACTCTGTGATCTTTTGCACAGATCCAGGTCTTGGATAGCAGCAGTAGTGCGGGAGCCAGCCTTCAGTCCAGTAAGACACCGAGGTAGCCTTGCAGGCGTCCGCAGGCCCGGCGTCTCCTCTATCTTTTATTTTAGTTTGTTATTCCATGCTTCCGAGACATCAGTTTATATTCTTCTTTCAAACAGTTGTATTTAGTACTCTTAGAAGTTCGTGAGTAATGTGACACCAGTTCTTGGGTAGTGGTATATGTTGATTTCCGCATTATTGTTCAGTTTCTTTAATTTACGTCTTCCGCATATTTATTTAATTCCGTTGTTTTCATGATATTACTGATAATTTTCAAAAGAAGTAATTTGTTAATGAAGTAGCAGTTAAGAATTGGCTTGCCTAGCTCACATTAGTAGGTGCCATAACGATTTCCGAGGGTGTAAAATCCGGGTCGTGACAAGTTGGTATCAGAGCTCTAGGTTACATAGGTCTCACAACTCACGGACAAGCTTAGTAGAGTCTGAGGGATCGGTACAGAGACGTCTGTATTTATCTCCCAGAGGCTACAAAGTTAGGAGAATTTCACATTTGTTCTTTCTTGTCGTGCGGATTGGTTCCTCAAATGTTAATTGAATTTCTACTCTATTCTTTCGCAGATGGCGAGAACATGCACTTCCTCATCTACCACTCAGCAGCCCGAGCCCCCAGCAGCACCTCCCACCAGGGGCAGAGGCCGAGGCCGTGCTAGATATCATTTTTTGGTCCTATGTTGTCTCTCATTTCCGTAAAAAATTATCGCCCAAGGACCAAAAATTCTTGATTTTTTACCCATGCCTTTTTGCAGTGATAAACCTCAATACAGAGGACAACTTCTGGAAAATTATGTCCATGAGCATTTGCTACAATAATATTCCCTTAGGCACATGATTCATATCAAACAAATTGTATAGCATTATTATTTTTCGTGGAACATTCATATCAAGCAAATTGTATAATATCATTATTTCTTATGGAACATTTATTAGGAGATGAAATGAAAGTTTTACCGGAGTCTTAATATGTTTTTAATGTTTGGTTGTAAAGATGGTATTAACACTAACATATTAAACTTTATGGTGTAGATCGTTCTTTTTAATTATCCGCGCATCACGCGGGTAATAATACTAGTATTCAATAAGAATTGTCATTGTTTTGTCTAATAATTGGAAATTGACACGTTGATGCTAAATAATTCTTGTCGGTGTTTAGACAATTTAAAGACGAATTAAACTTTGCTTGTCTTCCTAATTAAATAATTAATGGACCATATAATCCTCCTTTCATGAGATAAATTCCTTTGTAATTTTCTATTAGGAATATGAAAAGGCACACAACCCATGAAAAACCTAAGTAGAAATTGCACGGGGCGTCCTATTTGGTCGCCTCCATTTAACCTATACCTATTTTTTTTTAAAACTTTTAATTTATACCCACTTCTTAAATAACTTCAGCTCCCTTTCTCCTCCTCCTTCTCCATCACCATCACAACCTCACCCCTCAATATAATGAACGTAAAGGGTACAAAATTTTCACTGGCCCATAGGCCATAGCTACTCAGTAGCATGGATGGAATTATAAAGCCACAAGAAAACTCTAATCTATTCTAGAAGAGATTTGCAGGCACTCCTCATTTGCAACAGTCATCTTTTATGATTATGTGTTCCCAACCCTCTGTTAATGTCATGCCAACTAACTGTCATCTTTTAGTCTGTTTTTGTAGTTCTTAAATCCTCGATCTTAAAGGTAGCTAATATCCAAGAATTTACTGTATGTAATACATGTTGCTTAAATGATGTCCATATGATTCTCTGAAGCATGATATTTGACGATCCTAGCACCTCGAATAACTGATGAAGCTTCCTATTTACAACACAAAAACTTCAGCTCTATAGCTGAAGTTTTTGTGTTGTAACCGGAAACTTCAGCTCTAGAGCTGAATATTAATAGGTGGTAAAAAACTTCAGCTCTAGAGCTGAAGTTTCCCATTTACAACACAAAAACTTCAGCTCTAGAGCTGAAGTTTCCCATTTACAACACAAAAACTTCAGTTCTAGGCTGGAAACTTTAGCTGTAGTATGTAATATTAATAGGTGGTAAAAAAAATTCTCATTTACAACACAAAAACTTCAGCTCTAATATGTAATATTAATAGGTGGTAAAAAAACTTCAGCTCTAGAGCTGAAGTTTCCCATTTACAACACAAAAACTTCAGCTCTAGAGCTGAACTTCAGGCCTGACTACTAGAATGCTGAAATTTTGTGTGATTGCCTTTGCTACTTCAGTCCCGTATGCTGAAGTTATGCGAAAAAGCGGGTACGCATGCAATTTTTTTTGCAAAGCGGGCACAGATTAAAATGCGGCACAAAAAATGGGTATAGATGCAGATGTCCCAAAAACTAAACCAATTAAACAACTAAGTCCAATAAGTCGATCAGGAAAAAGGGAATTCCACATAAATTTGATATCGAGTATTACTATATATTAAGTAGAAATTCTAAATGTACCGCTATTTTTCTTTTTTACTCTAAAAAATTAAACATAAATTATACTCCAAATCATTTCATTATATTGCGTAATGTAACAACCATTGCAAATAGTCAGACAAAGAAATTACACTTGATGAACTTTTTCGCCAAGGGGAGTTACATTTTATTGAACTTTCAGATAATTAAATTGAAGAGTGTATTTTCTCTTCCAAATTAAACAACACATTAAATTAAAGCAGACATGATAACAACATGTTTCTTTGTAATCTAGTTACAAACTTCACGAGCAATTCCCACGCGAGAATTTGCAGTGTCAAACAAAATCCTGAGGTTCTGCTGCTGCAAATTGGCTATCACATTCAACACTGAGTTCACATTGTTTGGGGCTGCTGCCATTGCCAAACATGCCAAGGGGGTAGCACTGCTGTGTATCAAAGTGTTCTCCATTGGCAGCTTTAAATCCATTCCCTCAAAGTGCAATGTGATGGCTGGTGCCCCTGCTTCATTTGGTGATGCAAAACATGTGTCAAATGCACCCAACGAGCTAAAGGGCCCTTTCACTTGTTTCCTAAATTCATCCCGGATTGCATTGTAAGCCGGTGGGACGAATCGGGTTATGACCGTCCCCGAGTCGATTATGGTTCCTGCACCGGTGTTCGAGTCAAAACCAAGTTGCTCGGGGGCAATGGGAACCTGGACTCGTCCCACACTTACACTTGTCAAGTTCACGTAGTACAATGATGGTCGGCGCGGGTTCTTGAGTAATGGGGTAGTTTTGATATTCTTGGGTTGACCCAGGGGTCCAAGTTTGAGTGATCCGGAGAAATAATACGATTTAAAACTTGGTAAACAATATGAGAATACGCCCGAATAAAGTGATCCGGACTGTGACATTAACGACATGGAGCCCCTACCCAAACCCAACAACCCTTGGGGCGGTATTGCGTTTCCAGATACAGCACTAATGCACCCGAAAGCATAATTTGGAACAACATCATTGGCTAGTCCAAGTGAGTCACGTGACAGCGTGGCATAGAACGATGAATCTCCGCCATATGATTGGTTGAAGAAGCAAGCACTTGACCCGGATCCCGACCCAGTACTCGTGCAAGAGAGCCCGCGGACTTGAGTACATTCGGGTACGGAGCAGTCTACTGACCCGTAAGTAGAGGACGTAGTTGGGGCAAACAAAGTATTAGATGTGCACCCAACACAACCACTACATGGTACCCATGCATTATCGTTACTAGTATCCAAGACCATGTACATAAGCTGGCCTGGAGTACCAATCTTTGCCTTGACCACATAGTTACCTGTAACAATGTGTAGCAATGATAATGTGAATTACATGTACAATGGGGTATTTATATTGAATAAATACATACTCCCTTCGCATTCCATTCATGTGAGATGATTCTAATTAGTACGAAGCTCAAACTATCTAATTTTCTATTTGAATTCAGATATATAGGGTGTGTTTGGTATAACGGAAAATATTTTCCGAAAACAAGTAATAATCTTATTCATTTTCCGGCGTTTGGTACGCAAATTAAGGAAAATGATTTCTCAAGAGTATTCATAAATAATTTAGATATAATANCCAATTAGAGGAAAATGAATTGATAAGTAAAATATTTAAGCCAATCAAACATGAAAAAATTGATTTTTATGCCAAACACACCCATAGAATCTTCAAGTTTTTATAAATAAAAGTTACTTCATATATTTAGAAAAAAGTACAACAATTCACAATATATTTAAAAGGCTTATGAAAAAATTGCGGACAAAAAAACACTAGTTTAATTTGACTCTCCAAATAGTAACTGCATCACATAATTGAGAAGATCACTAAGCTACCCTTGAGTATAGTATACAGTATTTATCATTACCTATATTGAAGAGGTTCTGGGCTGGAGCAATGGGCACAATAGTTGGCTTTTTGGATACTACTAAGCTGGATAAATAAGAGAGCCTTTGTGGGTCTTTTGAGGCCATGTTGATAACAGTATTGAGAAATGAAGAGGAAGGTTTAGGTGGGTTAAAGGGTGAGCATTTCCCATAAATGTGAATGATTGAAAGGTCTGAATTACCTTTGGAAGAAGCACAAGAATCAGAAGCTGAAGATGTCGTAGAAAGAAGAGTGATTAAGAGGAAAGTGGCTATGGATAAGGCCATAACTTTAACTTCTTTTAACAATGGCAACTAGCTAGGGTGGTGAAACATGTATATATAGAGCCAAAAAGGTTGTATGGTTAGGGATTTTGGGGTAGGAATTAAAAGGGTGTGAAATTATTGGTGACACTAAAAAATTCACGTCAGTTTTTTTCCTTTTTATTTTGGTAATTTAAGGATAATTGTACAGTAGCTAGCCGGCTATGATCCAATAAAGGACTCAAGAGAAGTCAATATTTACAGCATAAACTAAGTGAATAAAAGATGACAAATCCAAGCTCTTATCATTCCATTGGTCCATCGAAATTTTCCATATCTATCAGTTTATCATTGTCCTGACTTGTTACATGATTTTTCACATTAATTAATACCATTGTTTTGCTTTAAAGCTTTTCAAGAACTTGCATAATTAAGAAGAAATGTAATTTGTTAAGTAAATATTATCGTAAGTAATATGATCTCAATTAAAATAAGACTTTAATTTAGATTTTGAATATCACCATTTATCTATTATAGTTACCAGTTCTATATATGATTCTTGAATGACTCATGAGCTTGACACTGACGTTGAGTCATTCATGACGTACCTGAGAAGTTATAGAACAAAATTTCTTCTCTACTCCTCACAATTTTAAAGGAACAGGATAATTTTTACATTAAACAAATGAATGTTATGTTAGCCTTTAGTGGAAATCAAATCAAAAGATATTGGAAGGGGGATATTTTGAGTGTGAAAGCATGAATAGAAGAAGCTCGTGAACCTTAGTTGGAGTTTATATTGTTTTGTCCATAAGCAAAGGAATTAAGGCACGAGATGCGGTTGGTCACGGGCATGCATGCAGCAGACGTACAAATTGTCAGGCAACTGCTTATGAAAGAGACCTCTCTATTCCAAGGCTGAATCTAATATTTTTGACTTAAATTATACGTACTAATATATAACAACAACAATAATAATAATAATCCCAAATAATCTCACAAGCTAAGTAGGGGCTTAAATTATACTATAACATATGCAAAAATAAATTTAAAATGTATATATACATTAACATCACACTGATTCTAAATTCAATAACTCTAAATCTTCCATTGCATCTTCTTAAATTTAGTCATTTGCTTGTCATTTCCTTCAGAAATTTGGGATATATTGTAATAAAATATGTCATTTAGGTCACTCAATTCAAATCACTCGCTCATCTAGTTAAAAGACAGCATCCCCCCACAACTACAAGTAATTATTAGTATTAAGACAATCATAACAGATAATTAACTTAAATATTACACATGCATAGTAAATAAAGCTAAAAAAAGTTTTAAGGTCCAATAATATCAAAGGGTTATCCTCATCATCCGTTCTAGCCCAAAAAGGACTCCCTAGGACCTAGACCTTCAAGGCTTCAAATGAACTTGTACCCTCTTGATTGAGTTTTTAAGTACTCCAATTTACATCGTTCTTTTAAATATTTTTACATCATCCTTTCATATTTATTAGTTATAGTCGGTAATTTTTTTTAAAGATTACAAATTTCACATTTTAAGGAAGCTTACTTATATATATATATATATATATATATAGAGAGAGAGATAATTTGATAGTGTAAAATATTATTTAAATTGACAGTGTATATTATTTAAATTCCCTTTTGATTATATTAATCAATGTATATTACTAGGGCTGGAGCTAGCTCTTCGATTATGGGTTCGGTTGAATTCAATAACTTTGGCTAGACTTTATATTTATCTTAAGAAATTTATTGAATATGTACAAATTATTAATTTAGAACCTAGTAAAGGAAATAATGTTAAATGCCTATGTGGGATAATTTCATTATTCGATTTTGTCTATCTGATTATAATTCTACTTATGCAGCCCGGGAATTTTATCTGGCACCTATTCCCTTTTTCTCTATAATTTGTACTTTGCGGCCAGAGAATGATTGAAAAGGCAAACCCAACCGACCCTCTCCCCCCTAACCACATATCTATTCGTGTTCGAAACTATCAAGCTGGAATACGGTAAGGACAGAGAAAATTTTCGGTAGAACGATGAAATACATAAAGATCGATAAGAACACTAACGACAAACTGGATTTTGCACTTCTTGTGTTATGGTGAAATGAAATTTTTAAAGATTTACTTTTGAAGTCATTTTTTCAAATTTTCAGATACAATTTTTGTGTATGTTCGAAGACCTACTATTGTTGAGCTTGAATCACTTTAATTTGAATTTTCAACTTGAAGATTTTGTTGTTTGATTCGAAGTGTGTGTTACAAAATGTTATCTATAGTACCTTTAAAATTTTATACTAATGAAATTTGATCACATTTGGAGCTGATTTAAGATGATTAGAATCGAATATTTGAAGACCCAACATTAAGTTGAACTTGAAGCTCTTTAAAAGCACAAGCACAATTACCCAACAATATATTGTTACAAGAGACAATATACTCTACAATAATATATTATAATGGTATATAATATACTGCAATAATATAATGTAATAGCATAAACTATACTTCAACAGTATACTTCAACTGCTATTGTTGAATCATCTATGTGCTATTGCGCAAAGCTAATCGTGGGTTATAGTCCAAACTTGGTGCTGATGATTGAAGAAAAATAAAATTGGTCCACCATCGAAGGAGCTTTGAAGTTTTAGGTTCCGGAATTGAATACTTAATAGTTTTTTTGGACATTAAAATTTGGGTGAGTATTATTAAAACTTGTTGCAAATGTTTGTAGGAATTGAATATGAAGTTTGAATTCATTTAGAACTGACCTGAAGTGAGTCTGATCGAAAATTTCAACCTAAAAATCTGCTCAAGTTGCGCGTGATCTCCAATTTGAATTTTTTGGTTGTGCTTCTGTTAAATATGATCGATAACGCTCTTCTTAGTTCCTTTGAAATTGGCATTGACTTCAACCAATGTTTTAAAAGGCGTGAGCGTAAGGCGAGGTGTTTTACATATGCCTCGGCGAGGCATAAGCTCTGAGGCACGTGCCTAAGCCCCATATGTATTTTATTTTTAATATTTTATAAAATAATATAATTACAGTAAATATTTATAAACATGTAAAATTGAAGAAAATTATATATATGTGTGTCATTTTACATATGCCTCAGCGAGGCATAAGCTTCGAGGCACGTGCGTAAGCCCCATAGGTATTTAATCTTTACTATTTTATAAAATAATATAGTTACAGTAAATATTTATAAACACGTAAAATTGCATAAAAATTGAAGATATATATATATATATATACACACACACACACTAGAAGGTAAAGAAGACAGAGATATATTAGAGAAAGATTATTCTTTTGGGTTGATCCTAATAGGTTTTATTAATTTTATTTCTTTATTTCCTATTAATTCTACTACATCATCTACTTTAATTTTAAATTTTGTATTGTTGTTTGTTGCCATTTTTCCTATGAATATCCTCTATCTTAATAGATTTATATAGTTACTTCTAAATCTGTAGCTCTGATACCAATATTAGAAAAGTATAAAAGGGGTAATTTCCTCTCTCTCTCTCTCTCTCTCTCTCCCTTCCTCCCTCCCTCTCTCTCTAAAAGTAACGACCCGACCAGTCATTTTGAGAGTTGTTGTGTCGTTCCCCCATTTACTATTCATTTCATGCTTTACGGTTGTTATGTGACTTGTCGGGGTAGTTGGTTTGAGTCCAGAGAGGTTTCGAAATGAGTTGAGACACTTAGTCTTAAGGTTGAAAGCTTAAGTTGAAATGGTTGACTGAATGTTGACTTATCTGTAAACGACTCCGGAATGAAGTTTTGATGGTCCCATTAGCTCCGTTAGGTGTTTTTGGACTTAGGCGCGTGTCCGGATAGTAATTTGGAGGTATATAGTTGAATTAGACTTGAAATGGCAAATGTTGGAAATTTAGAAGTTTGACCGAGAGTGGACTTTGTGGTTACTGCACTCGCCTTGTGGTTCCGGTAGTTAGAGTATGTTTATGGTGTCATTTATGACTTGTGTGCAAAATTTGGGGTCAATCAGACGTGATTTGATAGGTTTCGGCATCAAATGTAGAAGTTAGAAGTTCAAAAGTTTATTGGACTTGAATCGATGCGTGATTCGTGGTTTTAGAAATGTTTGATGTGATTTGAAGGATCGACTAAGTTCGTATGAGGTTTTGGGACTTGTTGGAATGTTTGGTTGAGGTCTTGGGACTTGTTGGAATGTTTGGTTGAGGTCCCAGAGGCCCCGGGTGAGTTTCGGATGGTAAACGTATCAATTTTTGGACTTAGAAGATTTCTGGAATTTTCTGGTGCACTGATCTGGTTTCCTTATACGCGATCACGTGGGAAGGTCTGCGATTGCGTAGGCTAGTTGGAGAAGCTGTGATGTTTTGCTCAATGTGATTGCTAGTTCTGGCATGTGACCGCGTAGGTTGGGGGAAACACTGCATCGTGAATGCGTGGGCTAGGCCACGTTCACGAAGAGGAGGTGAGGCATCTGGGATTTACGCGCGTTGTTCTATGCGAACGCGTGGGCCATCCACGACTGCGTAGGCCTTAGAAGCCTGTGTTTCGCATTCACGGGTGTTCTTGTGCGATCGCGTAGAGGAGTTTCTGGGGGCAATAAAGGTTGTGCTTCGCGATCGTGAATAAGGGATACTTGGGCAGATTTAAATATTTCAAAAACGAGGGTTTGAGTTCATAACACAAATTTAATTTTTGAAGCTCAGTGGGAGGAGATTCTTGGAGAGATTTTCAAGTGGTGATTATGGGTAAGTGATTTTTACCTAGTTTTGGTTAATTTCCATGTTTATGTCTTTGATTTTATCATTAAATTAGTGATTTGTGGTGGAAAATTGGGGGAAAATGGAGAAAAGTTCATAGGCCGAAGTTTGAGGTTTTGATCGAGATTTTGGTATCGGATTTGAGTAATTTTGGTATGGGTGGACTCATGGTTGAATGGGTGTTCGGATTTTGTGACTTTTTCCCGATTCTGATACATAGACTCGGCCGACTTTTGAGTTGACTTTTTGACTTTTGATTACGAGCTTAGCACTTTCTTAT